GGTCAATAAAACAAGCATGGATTTTACTATTTTTTATAGTTAAGCTATTCTCTATTATAGATCTCAATGCAAAAACATGCTCTTGGCATCCTCGGCCTTTCCTGTAACCACCTTGGAAGTCAGATATTTTTTCATATTTGTCACACCAGTTGTTTAACCTTACTGTCATCATCCCTGTCATTAATTTTAATGATGTGTTAACTAGAGATATTGGCCGGTAATTTCCTGGATTTGAAGCATCACCTTTCTTGTATATTGGAACTATTTGAATATCTGACCAGTTGGATGGAACTGAATTATTCTCCCATAGTTCATTTACGCAGTCAAGTAGGAGAATAATCTGTTCGGGAGATAGAGATTTTAGTAGTTCGTTTGGAATTTTGTCGGGGCCTGCAGCTTTCTTGTTGGCTAATTTAGAAATTGAGGATGTAATTTCATCGTATGTGAATGGTTGGTCTAGCTCGTTACTCTTTATGTGGGGCAAGTTATATTCGATATGCGAGTCGTCATTTTCCTTGAATATGTCACTAAAATGATCATACAAGGCTGCTTAATATTGCTAAGTTAATTGGTTCCTGGCTTAACTGATTAATACGCTTCGGTCTATAGTATGAAAGAGCTTTATAGAACTCATGTGGATTTCTTGAGGAGGATAATTTTGTGTCGAGATTGGAGAAAAACCGGATTTTCTTTGCCTTAATTAGATTACAGTACGATCTCCTTGCATTGATATAAGAAATCAGTCTTTCATTACAATTATCTTTTCTGAATAATCTAAGTTTCTTAAGTAACATTTTCTTCTCATATACGCATTTAGAGTCAAACCAAGCTGGTCCGAAACTAAATGATTTAGCACCACTCTTAATTACCTTGACCATACCAGAGTCGGCAGCAGCTTGGTTCATGACTTGTATATAATCTTTTAAATTAAATTTTTCATTGGGATAATATGTTAATAAGTTATCTAAGTTATCTCTAAAGTGTTCTATCTTATCATTATTCCATACTAGCTTTTCATACGTATATACATTAGTTGACAATTTTATTTCATTTATACTAGCAAGAATTGGAAAATGTGACGAACCTTCAGACTCCAATACTGTAAAATCTAAATACTTATGTATATTTTCTGATACTATGCATAAGTCGATAACGCTACACCCATTTTTATTTGAAAATGTAAAGTTTCCAGTACTGTCTGATTCTGTTGCTCCATTCAATACAATAAGATTATTATTATTCAGGTATGAGATTAAATATTTTCCTCTACTGTTCACAGATTTATCCTTTGATTTTCTGTCTCTATCTGTACTCGTATTTTGATAATTGCCTATCCTAGCGTTAAAATCTCCGAATATGAGACAGACTTCATTGAATGGATTAAGATTTTGAAAGACAGATTCTAATGGTATCAGACATGATGGAGAGAGATATGTAAAAACGAGATTTAACTTAATTTGGTCTCCAACAAACTGAATGCAAATTGTCTCGGCAGTCTGTGTTACTAATCTAATTTTTGATGATATACTATGATGCACTGCTAGGATATATCCGTTGGATAGTCTGCCACGAGATGATAATTTACTCCCATGAGATTCATAAATATTATATTTCGTACAGATTGATTTATAGCTAAATTTGAAAGAATGCCAAGTTTCAGATAAAAAGAATACCAAGGGTTCATGAAAAAGTATGTCATTGTAGAACGTTTTGTTTTTGCGGGCGAGTCCCTCGATGTTCCATGCAAGGATTTTGAAATTTTGTGGTAGAAGTGGGTGGTCCAGTCGTCTTGATCCAAAGTGTAGAGGCCGGCCGTGTCCTCATGAGTGGGTCGTTTGAGATTCCATTGGCTCATTTCCGGCTGTGCCATCAGGCTGGTAAAAGTTTGATTTGGGAGCAAGATCTTTGGCGTAGAAAACGTTGATTTTTCCATTGATTTCGACGGTCATTTTCCCCATTTGAATTCGACAGTCATAAATATAATGCTTGGTTCCACCTGTGAATTGTGTATTATTTTAAAATGTTAATATGAAAAGTAAAAATAACGAAATATGTAAAATCACTACCCATGGTCAGTTGGGTTCTCCAAAGCGAAATATAATAGGGATAGTGGACCCTTCTGTAGAAATGCTTGAAGGTATGAAATGACCATGTTGGATGCTTATCATACGCTTCAATTGCTTTTAGTTTGTATGTCATGCTCATATCATCCGGAGTGATTTTTATTCCCGTATCTTCATCTTCATATGCGACATCCAATGCAACCACAGAATCCGACGCTGCATAAATGCATAATGTTTTATTGCATATTTACTGAATAATTCAAAGTTTAGTAGGTTACCTTGACTGTTGTCAATTTCTTCTTCAAAAATGTAATCGAACACCAATAATTCTAATTTTTCTGCTAAAAGTTGTGCAATTTGTTGCTCTTCCTCGCTCGGATCGCAATCCTCAAAATTCTGCTGCTTAAATATTTCTACCAATGCCTTACTAACCGATAAAAAATTAATAGAGTCCATTTTTTGTAATTATTTAATATTAATTAAGATAAGTTAATTAGTAATGCACAAATTAAATGATCATTTTAAAAATAATGTACGCATTGGAAAACTTTCGGGCATGAGAAGCGAAAAGCGAAGAATGAGAAGCGAGTCATTGACCTAGTGAGGAAAATGGGAGTGAAAAATTCGCCGATTTTACGGCCCGTTTTGTCCTCTGTTGATGCAAATATCTCCGCGAAACCTGCGCATTGGCAGATAGTGTCTTTTGCAAATTTCATATTAATTAGATTTGTGATCGATTGACACTACTTGGTCCAAATCTGTGAGCATACGTTGGGAGACCTCCATTGTAAGTTAAGCATTTATTTTCATGCTATTTTTCATTCTGTAATTCTGCTCTGGAATTAATTTGTCTTATCAAGGAAACAAATTTAAATTATTTTCTGCAATAATTATTCGCAACAAAACCGTAACCAATGTGGACGAGACGAGTCGTATATATGGGTAGACTTAGGTTGCAAAACTCGGTGATAATTTGTCACCAGATTATTTAGAGTTCACTCTAAAATCTCGTTCTCTCTCCCCTCTTAAAAATTCATCTCGGCACGGGAAATCCTACTGCATAATAAGTTCGGGGATTTAAGACCTCACATTTTACATACTTCCGTAATTGCTTATCCACTCGGTTTCTGGATCAATTTCTTAAATTCCCGGACGGTTAAATGACTAATAGCAGGATTTTCTTGGGACATAAAATATCGAGGAAATTACCGCTAAATAAAGTCAAGTTATTTCCTTTGTGAGAAAAAGTTTTACCTGATCAATGCATGCCAAGAAAGGCTGCAGAAGCAGACAATTTTTTTGTGCAGGAATTTTTTAAGTATGCAGTATCCCAGCGAAAGTAGAAAAATCGAAATGAAAATAATAAGAAAGTTTTTTTCTTAGGAAATATGTCCAAGGTTTGATAAAAGTACTCGCCCCGTCCGCCACGACGGAGACGTAGGATCCACACTAAATAATTTGGTAACAATTTGTTACCGAGTGGTGACAATTTTTGTGCAGAATTAATCAGATTTAATACGACATGCGGATAACAACATTTGTTAAAAAATTACTTTCATTAGGTAATAATTTTGTTATTAAACTATAAAACCATTTAGCACACGTGAAGATTCCTCCAAATTTTATTCCTTGATTATTAAGTGTGCACCAAGATTTTGTCGTATTTATGCCCCTGTCATTTTAAAGCAGCGTCATCGTCTCCTGTCCATATCGTCCAGTCCATTTGATTCCCATTGTTCTCTCCCCATCGCTGACGAGACGACGACTCCTCTTCCTCCGTCCGTCCGTGGATTGGATAATCTCACTAATTTGCTTACTTAATCCAACCACGTGCAACGAGGGTACACTTGGGTAGGCGAAACTCCTGTCCAGAGTTGGGCAACAAGGACATCACGTCAGCCGAGAAGAATAATAATGACCACGTATAACATTCCATTCGGATGGAGAGTCTCTAATTTGGGACCATGTCATCCGTGGTATTATGGGAAAATGACTCCTGTAAATCTATCTCTGGTAGTAAAAATAATATCGCGACTGGGCTGAGCCTTAATGATGAGACGATTGATTTCGCTTCATTTGTAACCGTGAGGTCCAAGTGATGCATGTTTTTGACGTTATATTTTCGTAAAGGAGCAAGTGCACCAAATCTTTAATTTTGTAAAATTAAGTTCTTTTTGATACGATGTAATAATTTATATTATTTTTTATGAATAATTTGATTTAAAATTATGACCCAATTCATGCAGTTGGTTGACAATAATGCGTTTTTTAAATTAGTTTTATACACTTACAAGTTTAAGGATGTCACTGTGACATTGTCACAATGTTACCGAAGTTGAATCAATGATTTATTGAGAATGCAAATCTAGGGCAAATCAGGAATCTTAGTTTAATTTAATTCTTTTACGTCCCAATTTTTTTTTACTGGCATAAATACTTGCTTACATAAATTTGAGGTTTCACTTATTCAGCGAATATTGAGGCGTTTATTAAAACACCTCGAATTTCATGTGCTTCTAAATTTTGAAACTCAGATTAGTGGAGGATTTTTTCAGTGAAATTACCATATTGATCATATCAATTGACAATGTCCCATCTAGATTCACGTAGTTTAAATCAAACGTCATACAAAAATTGTAAACGGCGTGTAACTGATACTTGTACATTTGTAAGAGCAGATTCCTAATTTAGGAGTCTATTTAAACTGCATTTGTTTCATTGAACTCAATTAATTTGATTACTACGATGTGTTTATGAAAGATATATCAATTAATAAAATTACAAAATTTGTTGGTGTAAATTTTGCTACAAACTTTCTCTTACCTGGTAAAAATTGTGCTACAAGATCCACCAAAATTATATAACACAAGACTTCCTCGACATCTCCTTGTATACGAAACGCATTAAAGTTTACACATTTTTTTTTACTAATTTCAGAAAACCCTCTCAACTGCGATTGTGACAGCAAAGAATTGTGGGAGTGGTTGCAAACTCACCCGAAAGCATTTTCTCAGCCGGGCTCCCCCATAGCGTCGGCCCTCGCGGCGGGTGGCGTCGGTGTGCCCAACAGCCGCACCCCCTCCGACGGGACCCAACTACAACCCAATTTCATCTGCGAAAGGCCCGACGAATTTCGTGGGAGGGGGATTCTCGATTTGGATCTCGATTCATTCTGCTCGTCGCCAGCCATTGTCAAATTGGCGATTCAGGTAAATTTAAAATTTCGAGATTAACCGGTCACCTTCGTAAATGTCGTAAATAGCGTAAATTTATGACATCTGCGAAAATTACATGTTTTCCAAGCTTCGTAAAAATACGCAAGGTTGAGGCATCCTTTTCGATTCGAATATTCTTAAAAATTTCGTAAAGCAATAAACAAACATGATATTTCGAACACGATAGTACCGGTGATACATATTCGGCAAAGAAATTTTTTTTTAATTTACGAAAGTTTTTTTACGAAGGGTCCTTCACGTCAACCCTTTGTGAATGACGTAAATTTACCAATGTTTTTTTACGAATCCATAGTTATGAAGGTCGTGAAACCCCTCTATAATTTTACGAAAAATTAACAGATATGCATTAACTTCCTCATGACGTACCTACTTGTCTTACACAGCCTCTTGATGTAAATCTGTTAATTTACTTGTAAGCATCAAAATTAATTTAATAATGTAAACGTCGTGAGTATCTCACAAATTTAGACATTTTTCAATTCAAAGTTCAAACCGCAATCGACGATATCTAACGATGAGTGCATACTGCAATGCTATTAGTAATGAGTGATGACGTCGAGATTTTAAAACCGAAAAAACACAAATACTTCTCAGGATTAGTTTATTTTTTTTCATTTGTATTTTAATTTAACTCCAGTAAAGTATGTCAAACATAGTTTCACAACACAATTTTCATGCTGTCAGACATGCATTTCTCCAAATAATGTAGTAAATTATAGGATATAATGAATGAATATGTACATTTCTATGAATCCTTGTAAGAAAACAAGAAATCCAGTTAACCTCATCCTCAGAGATTTAAATTGATACTATGTACGTATTCTGCAAAAATGCAGAATAATAAAATAAGTTATTATGAATAACGCAAAAAACTCGAGCTTTTAAAAAGCTAGAACATAGACGATTTACGTGTATGCATTAAATAAACAATCTTACCAAACAATCTTGAAATTATTAAGATGGCGTCCACCTCTAAGTTTTCGAAAATTTGGAGAATTAATTAGTAAACTTTTCAAGGTATCATAATTTTGCCAAAAATGGCAATAATATACTCATATTTAGTAATTTGTAAATTGAACTTGGATGTAAACTATTGGATTCCATTTTTAATGGATTGACTATGGTTCATCTATTAAAAACGCGTAATTTTTTATATATCAATACTACATATTTTATTGAATTTCCTATCAACGGGCCTGGTGCGTGTCAACGGTCCAAGGTTTTCAAAAAGTTTTCAGTTTTGAAAATATGTGAAGAATTGCAAGAATGGCTCAAACTCAAAATTCATAAGAATTATACCATGCATCAAATAATTTTGTAGAAAAAAATGACGCATTTTAAATAGATGAACCATAGTCAATTGGTCAAGTTTCGGACGAAGCTCCAGACAATCTAACTTTACCCAATAGTTTCTCACTTTTCTCAAATTATTGAAATGACGTGTATATCTAACGTTTTTTAAATTTTCTCGAATTGCTCTTTAAAGACTTTAACGAATGTTGGAAAAATTTGGAAAATTTACTTAAAAATGGAATACATATAAACTTGTATTTTTTTCTTGTATTTTTTTCCGTTCGATACATATAATTTAGTAATAATCTTGGACTCTGGTGGTTATTCGCTCTTTTTCATGTCCCAGAAAATTCAGAATCTCAAATATATTCGTAACACGTATCAATTAAAAAAGCTATGCAACATACAGTAACAATTAGGTAGGTATTTATTCAAGATTGATGTAGCATTAGCTTTTACGATCATCATTTTCATTTCATACAAAACATTTAGATAGATATTAGCAGTATGGGTGTAGAGGGAAAACCGGAGATGGTCTCGGAAAACCTCTACATGTATTGGGAATGTGGCCCAATACACCATTCGGCCCATAACTGCTGGACACCAGGTAGGAAAATGTATGGCAGTGATACATAGGCGGATTCCGTGATGGTGGTGATATCCAAATGAGGGTGGCGTCTGCATGCGGAAGTAGACAGGTGAAGGTTGTTGGGCGGGGGCTGTCCACGGACCGCGGGATCTTGCCCACGTCCCCCATGGTAGCCGTAGCCGGGGCCGACGACACCCCCACTTGCCCCTTCCCCCATCACAACACAATCAGGTCATGGGACCCCCGTAGACCTGACCATGCCGCCCCCCGTCATGCACGACCCCCTCCGCCACTTTTCAAACAACCACTCCCCACGGTCACCACCCCGATATACCAAACAAAAACCTACCTGGGGAGTCCCTCCAAGGCGTAGATCCTCCCGTGCACTGGGTCCTGCGAATCCATCTTCGCCTGTTGGCTCAGCTTGTCGTTGCTGGGACGGGTGTGGCAGGGGGTGTCACTAGGCACGCAGGTGGGGGGTGTGAGTGGACGAGGCTCACGGGGCGAAAAGCCTTTAGGACACACTTTACTTGCCCTGGCACACCCGCGACCCAGATGGAAGAGGATCCAGATGCAGAGCGAGAGAGAGATACGTTGTGCACGGAGGAAGCCAAAGAGGAGTACAGTAACAATTATAATTACTCTTTCTTCTTACACTTTGGATATTTAGTTAACTAAATTGTCTGTCTTCAGCTCTGACTAGATCCATCCATTCAAAAGCACTTATCACAGACCCACTTCCATCGTCAGATAACCATCAATTTTACCATCAGTATTATTCAAGAAGATCGGACTACCTGCATACAGCATGTTATCGATTTTACAGTTATTTAGCCTGCTTTATATGTTCTATGCTACACGCTTAGAAATCTACAGAGAGCTTAGAAATCTACAGAGAGCTTAGAAATCTGTAGCATTAAAATAATACCAAGCGGTATTCGCATATGACTCTACCAAATTTACTAAATCATACTGTGTAGTAATACTGAGTAGCTCAGTTGTCGGTATAAAAGTTTGACCATATCGGGAGCGAATTTTTACGGACTGGTATAATTTTAATACCAAATGGTGGCAACTTTAATGCCGTGTAATTAAAATGGGATGTTGGCCGATTCCTACCACACTCTCTCAAATCTCGATCGCATGCTTTATACTTACATAGATGGTCCACAAGGAATGAGTGACGGCTCAATTTTTGCCCCCTTGATTAAGAAAGTTTCCCACTTTTGCATCATTTCATTTCGCTTCTCGCGTCTAATTTTCATTTTCGGATGAAGAAATACAATAACAATGTTTCCTGTTAGCTGGATTGGATTGTTATGTCGAAATTGTTCCAAACCAACTTTCATTGTGGAGTGAAAGTTGCAATTAAGTCGAGGAAATTGACGATAGAAGGAAGGATTTGGCAAGTTTTATGGTTTCGAGAGGATGCAGAGTTTGGGAGAGGCATGATGGACTGATTTTTACAGGAGAACGCTAAATAATATGGTAACAATTTATTGCCATAGAGTGACCAATTTGTAAATATATTTCTATCCATTTGGTAAAATGTTATTTTCAATGTTGCAATAAAATGGATCACATTTAGTGAAAGTTGTTTTGGATGGTAACTCATCTACATATTACCGACTTGTAGTTGTGTGCTCACATATGTGCTGATAAACGTTTGTTCCTTGCTGGTAATACCTACTCTTTTACTAGTTTGTTGAAAGCTTGTTACCGGTTTAGTAATACATATGAGGACTTTTTTTTGCTATGGACCCCTTGAAACATTTGTATTTAAATTTTGATAAATGATAACACTAGCTAGTGAAGTACGTCCAAACAATGCAAAAAATGGGTGCTAAAAAATCCACATGTCAGGGGTACCTCTGAGGGACCCATAATACCTTTTACACGTATCCCTTCATTGTGGGCCAACCAGAAGTCGTAAAAATACGGGGTTTGGATATTTTTTATCTACATGCGATTGTCTAAAACGAACTTCAGTAAGGAGCCGCTACGTGACCTTTTTGACCTAAAGTTTGACCTTTTAAATTCACATGTATTGCGACAAAACTGGCATGCTAATAAACTGTAAAACTTAATTTTTATAGAGGTCAAACCTTAGGTCAAAAAGGTCACATAGCGGCTCCTTACTGAAGTTCGTTTTAGACAATCGCATGTAGATAAAAAATATCCAAACCCCGTATTTTTACGACTTCTGGTTGGCCCACAATGAAGGGATACGTGTAAAAGGTATTATGGGTCCCTCAGAGGTACCCTTGACATGTGGATTTTTTTAGCACCCATTTTTTGCATTGTTTGGACGTACTTCACTAGCTAGTGTTATCATTTATCAAAATTTAAATACAAATGTTTCCGGGGGTCCATAGCAAAAAAAAAGTCCTCATATACGTTATTTACCGGTCTACTGACTGATCAGTATAATAATGCATTATAATAATGCATTAGGCCATGGCCTACCAAGTTTAAATCTATCTACAATTTGGTAACAAAGTCTTAACCAAGCTCGTTATGATCAATTTAGTAATTTTATTAATTGAGATTATTATATTTCGCTTTGATAAACATATCGTAGTAATCAAATTAATTGAATTCAGTGGCATATGTAAATGAAGCTTACGGATGCACATGTTCTAATATTAGTTGTACGCCGTTTACAATTTTTTGTCTGAGATTTGACATAAAAACATAAAGTAGATGCCATTTTTTATTATTTTAGATTGATTTCATGATTTTAGCTTCGATCAATCAGGATACCAAATACTTTAGCTGGAGAAAGTCTTCAACAAATCTGCACTGACTATGGAACCTTTTTTTAAGCTACACCGGGATCGACTAGCGAGTTATGTGAAAAAACCAAGCCAAAAATTATGAGTCACGTGACACTTATCTTTCCGTTGAATGGCCCCTTTGAAGAAAAATATTGGAGGTCAAAGTTCACACAAGCGCCTTGGTTTTCGCCCCGTGGAGGAAAACGCAAGAGAAAATTTGCTCAAAAATTGAACTTCCTATAAGTTCAATTTAAGTTAAATCAAGTAATTTAAGTTCAATTTAAGTTCAATTTTTAGTAACCGCCAATAGTTTTCTTCAAAGGGGCCGCATTCAACGGAAAGATAAGTGTAACGTGACTCCTAATTTTTGGCTTGATTTTTTCACATAACTCGCTAGTCGATCCCGGTGTAGCTTGAAAAAAGGTTCCATTGTGAGTTTCAAAAAAAATATATCGAAGCACATGAAATTCGAGGTGTTTTAAACGCTCCAATATCACGCTTAATAATTGTAAATTAACTTCAACCTTCGATGCCATAAAGAAAATTTGGGATGTAAAGTGATTTAAATTAGACTAAGATTTCGTAAAACTTGGAGATGACCTTTTGGTTAATTGATGTTTTTACATTCTCAATAAATCATTCAGTCAGCTTCAGTAACATTATAAAATCATGAAACTTACAAATATGTAATACTAATTTATAAAATAAACTTACGGACAGGATATTGCAATCATTGTGAGATCATTACGATCTGTACTGATTACCAAATACATACATTAGTAACGTGTACAATAGTTGCCACAGTGTTTAAAGTGCACCCAAGCTGGTTTATTACACAACTTCATCTATTTTATTTTAAGTTTGTTATCTAACACAAAATCCGATTGGAATCAGACACGTGGCGCATTGTCCACTTTTACAACGAACTTACAGCTCTTCCTTCATCCGATTAGATTAGCTACCTAGTTTCCATCACAAATATAAATAATTACAAGTGAGATTCGTTTCCATAAAGTTTCCTGAAGTGCACAATGCGCCGTGGAAACGACAAAATCTGCAACTCAGGTGACTGAAAATATTGTGGAAATAAATATAAATCCATACAAATGACATAATACGTGATTTGAGCACATCCTTCATGTTAAACACTCACATTATCTTTAAAATAATATATATCATACAAACTTAAAAATACTTTTAACGTCGCTGAAATCTCACTAGAAACTATCTGTTTGTGAATTTATAAAATTTGGTAATTTGTTTAATTCAGTTTTTGGTTTTTGAACTTTTAAAATTTTAAAAATATAATATGGCACAGTTAAACTTGAAATTGTCTCCAGTCCTGAACGAAGGTTTATCAAGTCCACACAATAAATAATGAAGTAAAAAAATGTCACCCGCCTTTACACAGCCTTTTGGCGTATTGGTACTAATTTAGTTGCATTATTTGTCTAACAAGTTCTAATTTACCATCCTACCGAAAGGAATTGAGTCCAGTTTATTGGTAAAAATTTGAATTATGTGTACAATCATTTATTTAAAAATTATTACCAACGAGGATTAGATGACATTTTTGGCACCAAATTATTCACACCGTGGTTTCCTTTCCCTGTGGAAATACATCTTGATTATTTTATCATTTCTTCTGACTCATCTTGAAAAAATTGATGTTTTTCTTCTTCCTGTGATGAATGGGGGGATGAAATAAGCCCAATTTGTCAATGAAATCCTTTCTTATTATTTTCCGCAAGCCCTGCTGAAAAATGGTGATAGTGCGGGAAGAAAAGTTCAAAAGAGGGAGTAAAATCCTAATCTCGGATTCGGGGATTTCATAATTCTTGATTCCGCCGCGGCAACCCTTTCGTGTTACAAAGATGGATGGATGGGATGAAGTGAAAAGCTTAACTTTCTCCGAGCGGCCAAGGTGTCGAGAAAGTTATCAAAAAGTGAGAGAAAGCTGTACAATTGTGGTCGATCTGCAGGGTGCAGGGTGCAGGGTGCCAGTCGACTCGATTTTATGATTTGAAACGAAACGTGTGAGAAACAATGGAAGACGTTTGTTTAATTTGTCTCAAATTTTTATGAAGAAACAAACCTTTTGCAATTCATTCTGGCACAAATCAAAAAACAGTCAAATTCACGGGGATGTTTGTAAACTGTGTAAATTGTACAACTATAGCACAAAAAACAGAGATAGTGACATGTTAATTGCGATGTTACTAGCGCAACTTACTGCAATTTCTAACCACTATACACCAACGAATTAACCTGTTTATGTACTTTTTATTATTTGACCTTCCTAATAATATCCCAAATGGCGCTTAATCATTACATTATTACAATTACATTACTATTAAGGCTTTACAAACAACCGAATGAATTCTGTCGTTCTATAAAATTTAGAATTAAACAATATTTCTTAATTCATAAATTGCCAATCACATTTCGAATTCAGCGGGATCTTTGATTGCGAGAAAGTCCTAGAAAATCTCACTTTCTGTCGTTCATGCCCCCAACCAAACAAACCCTCTTCATTTATACTTTCTCCGCCACATTTTTGCCAGACCGTCACCATACAAAGAATTGATTTCTTTGGGAGATGATGGGAAAGGAGACGAAGAGATGAAAGAAACCCAGATTTTAAGCAGACGGTGAAAATAAGTGAGCGGTGGGGCTGACAAGGAAAGATTATTTCGATGGGATTTGGTCGTCATTAATTTTTCACAGGTTAACAAACCAACCGAGAAGGAGAAGGAGAAAGAAAGATCGAGTGCTTTCTCTTTTTTATTGCTTTTCATTTCATCAGGATGACGACTTCTTGACTTGATTATGGCGAGAGGTACACGCTTAGAAATTTTGGCAGGGATTTTTTACCAGGTTATGGAGGGAATACATTGGTTTACCAGTTTGGTAATATTTTACCAGATTGTTATTTGTGGTATGCCAGTAATTTCGGAATGACGCCAGTTTGTAACACTCTACATTTCTACACTCTACATTCCATTTTTATAAAGGTTGTAGTGATGCGTATTACTTTTTATGATGAAAACTGTTATCAGAATTGCTACCAATTTACTTTACCAGTTTTATATTGAAACTTTTTTTTTACCAATTTCTACTCCACAAACCGTTGTAACAATTATAAATTTTTTCACCCGATTTTTAAGAGTGCCATCGTAAGTTACGAGTCGTAACCCTGATCTTCTTCATTACGTGCAGATTTACCGGGTTGCAGGTCGGATGGAAGAGCAAGTGTCTTATTATTGATTAAAAGGAATATTTCATCAGGATGGGAGGCTAAGCCGATTTTATGGATTTCCATTACTTCCGAAATCACGGAAATAAAATGACATGACAAAAAAACTTTGTCACTCTTGCTGTTCGCGTTTTTATCTCCCAAATCTATAGACGCACTCACGTAAAACATACATGTTTGAAATTTTGCATTGCAATTTTCTACGTGAAATTAGTAATTTCGTGAAGGTACACATATGCCAAATTTACATATAATTTAAAGTTATGTCCTTGACGTATTCACGCCGACTTCAAAAATTGAGCATCTTAACAGAAGTTACCATGTTTTACAGAGTTTCTCAGATTTCACAAAACTTTAGGAATCGCAGGCTGAGGAAGCAAACTCAACTTTCATTTTCTTCCTGTGCTAAAATCGCATATTTTTCAACTTTGACTACAAATTGCAATTGCAACCATGGCGCAAACTGCCTCAATAAACGTTGGTTGTATTGACATGGGTCACATATTTAATTTTAAAATTTCCACCAAATCGGAAGGTTACACTTCACAGTATCGCTTCACACTAGACGCCCAACAATTTAAATTTTTTCACAATTTTTAGGTTTTTGCTACCAAGTTTGTCAGATTTATTATTCACATCGAGGAAATTTACGGAATTTATAGTTTAGAAGAGAAGACTTTGTTTTTATGCTTAACTTTATTTACAATTTTTGCATTTTAATATGTTACAAGTTGACACCATTTATAAAATTTTAGGCAAATTAAATATTACAATTGATCTTAGGTGCCAACTTTATTTTCTCGAATCTCTTTTTTTAATATAAAGGTCAAATTTTTAAAATAACACATGAAAGTTCGTTAGCCACCGTGAAAGGTCATACGCACGAAAGCACATCGTTTCAGTTATTTAATTCTTGTATTGCATTAATTTCTTATTAATACATGACAACTAACAGACAATATTTAACCATAGATTATAAGACAAGTAGCCAAAGTCATATACATTTTTATCCAAAATATTTCCAAAATTATCTAAAATGTTCCCCAATTTCAGGATGTGCAACCCTCCTCGGCCATAATTTCGTGGCAAGGGCGCAACAACTCGGCGATGCAGGGATACATGATTGGTTATCACGCCCTCAACCACGACGACCAAATTCGGTGGACGCGACCACTTCCGGCCGTGTCGAAAGCGTACCGGATCCCAGACCTCGAGTCGGACACGCCGTATCTCGTCTGCGTCCTCGGCCTCGCGCAGGACACGACCTCCAACGTCACCACCAGTGCACTCACCCTCCTCTCCGCAGAAACAGTCCTCAGGGACTCTCCAGTTTCGAAATGCACTAAGGTAGGCGGAATTAATTTGCGGATTTAATTTGTTAACTACAAATTATGAACTTATAAACCGGCATTTCGAGCATTTAATTTGTAAATTGGATAAATTATATTGAAAATTGCGCTACAAAATACCGGGTTACAAACATCCGGGTAAATTGCATGAAGACTTTAAGAGGTCATGTGACGCTATTTATAAAATATATTTTTAAACTTTACTGAAATTGAAATAATAATTTTGTCGTTGAGATTTGGAAGCCCACATATTCAATCTGTGATTTTATTTAACAATCATAATTTGCACTTAAATAACATACGACGCTGAAACCTCGCAAATTAAATAATTTGTCAAGTCACTGGAAATTTCTCACAATATGTGACAAAAGTCGAAAAGAAAACCAAACTTTCTCAGGCATATTTTGGTATAAAGTGTTTACCTGAACACGCATGTACATTCATGGATGTAAAAATTCTGTAAAATCAGGAGTTAATTTATTTCCGAAATTTCTTAATTACGCTCACTCGAAACCATGAGCATATTTTTAATTCCTAATTCAGCAAACTTGATAATTTATGTTTCCAATTAAATCTAGCACCTTATTTCGAGATGTATGTAGGTTTATAATTTAAAAATATATATTTAGGTAAGTTGTACAATCTATTGTAGAATTCGAAACATCAAACAATAATTTAAAACCATATCCACAATTTCCTAAAAAAATACATAATTGGCAAACAAAACCTTATAGCCGAAACTCGTCAACAGGATGGTATCTATGTTTAAACTTTTAGTTCATAAATTTTCTTGCAGACAATTTAAGAACGCTGAACCTTCGCTCATTAAATAAACAATAAATTTCAAGTTTCTATTTTATCAATTTTCCTAATTTTTAGTACCACACGTGGATTAAATATGTCTCAACTTTTAATTTTCAAACCATGTCGCCCAGATTTTCACATTTTTCCGTACGTTTCCAAAAAATTTTTAAAATCTTTGATATTCAATAATATCAATCACCAATAAATTTGTCAATTGTTGTGCCATTATAGAGATTACATATTATTATATTTCTGCACGACAAAATTAGACAGCTTATTTCTGAGTTAGAAAAATATTTGCGCGTTCAATATTTCCAAGTTTTACAAGTATTTATTTACTAATTTCTGCCTTTTTCTCCATCAGGTCCGCACCTCCATCTCGGTCTCTGGCTCGGACAAATTCTCCATTCTCCAACGCCGCATGGGCGTCATTGTCGGCGCGGCGGTGGGTGTCGTCGTCTTCATCGTGTTGATGACCATCCTCACCTGCGTCAAGTTGAAAAAGAGTCGCCGAGCTGGTGCGACACGGGAAGAAGAAAATGGGAAAAGTGACCATCACAACAACCACCTCGGCGTCACGGAGGCGCTCACCCCGCCGAACGGGACGAATGGCTTGGGCACGCTGAACTATGGGCACAACACGCTCCAATTTCACAACGGCCACACCCACACCTTGACCCGAATGGGCAACGGGAATGGCAACAGCGCCGTCGTCACGTCGCCCAATCGCGGGGGGCGAATGTCACCCGAGTTCCTAACCTATCGACACTACTCGATCGCCACGGATAACAACGGGGTCAACATCATGCAGTCAATGGCGACCACAGATTTGGACCGGTTATGACAAGACTCGTCCCAACATCCAGATATCCTTCCCCCACCGCCCGGCCCCTTTGGCGGAGAGTCTTGTATTTAAGAAAATCAAAAAACCTACATAATTTAAGCTAATTGTTAAAAATAAAATTGTTTAAAACGCAGGTGTTTTCTCGTTGTAAAAAATAATAAAATGAGAGATTTGTTGTATGTAAATCCGACTTTCTTCTCTGAAATTGTTGAGCTTCCTTCGTGTAAATAAAAAATCAATTGTTGCCGCATTTCTATTAATTAAGAAGGTAGATTGTTAAGTTGTATTGTGTGACTATGTAATTTATTGAGTAAAATATATGCGAATTATGTAATGAGACGAATCACGTGGATATTTGTAATCAACCAAAATCGTAGCCTATTTAAAATCGTCTCCAAAGATTAGTGACACGGATCCAGTGCATCTCATCAGTTTTTGAAAGTTTATATTGTAATTTTACAAACTTTTCGGAGTTTTATTCCGTTACAAATGATCGCGTGCATTTCTATCTCAGTTAACATACAGCTTTGTAATATCAAGTCGATCGTAATTAAGTCATGATCTTATATTAATTATTTAAATATCCGTCCCAAAGGTTAATATTATTTAATTTAGCATTTATAATTTTGTTACAATCTTTAAACAAAATGTAATCTTTAAACAAAATCAGATTTCAACCTGACACCCAAAATAAAATGTTCCAAAATCCCACAAACATAGGTACGTAATCCTCATCAAGAAATTATGTACTAATTATTATAATTCATAATAGGTATTTATAACGTATTTAAATATGTAACACTATCCTGAACTATGTAATTAATTAAATAAAATTACTGTGCCTTAAATAAATACTTTACTTCGCATTTTCAACCGACTTTCCACTCCTCTCTTTTCCTCTATAATTAAGTCTTAAATATACTTAAAACAATATTCAATCATTTATTACAAATTATTGCGTAAAAAAAACATCACAAAAATATATTGTACATAACTAATTGCATACAATATTTAAAATAAGTAATTATACATAAATAACTAATTATTATGATGTAACGATTATGTTTATGTCACTAAATTATCATGTTGAGATGTATTTGCGTTACTTATTAAGCCGCATTTATACTTCACCTCTTGCTAACTTGCATCATATTTAGTTAATTGGCCCAAGTTGGTACGACTTGGATGTACCGATTTTATTCATATTATAATATTCATAGAGTAAATTTTTACGTTTTCCTTGCCTCGAAATTGTAACCTATTGGACATGGGCGTACTTACATAAAGCATGTGATTGATTTGAGGGGGTGTGGTGCCCCATGATAGTCAAAGCGCGTTCGTTAATTATATCACGGGCAAATCTTGAGGGTTAATAAGACAGGGGTAATTTTTTTGCTAAAATTGACCACATGCTTTACGTACAGTAATAATTTTTGGCCATAAAAAAACATGTATATTTTTATAAAAATATTCAAATTTTATAAATAAATGATATAAATGTTGAAGTTAATTACTTCTATTAATTTATTTTTGCATGTTGATCTCATTTTATTAAAATACAGACATCTATAACTTACGCATCTTTATTGACGTTTAAATCGCTAAATTAAACCAGTAAAATAATTTCGCTTTTCAACTTTGACAAAAGTCCAATTGCATTTTTGTGAATTAATTTTAGAATCGCTAATGATCCTGCCAACAGTATCTGTAATACAAGTGAATCGTAATGATTTTTTTATCAAAATTCCATCAACTTTTTCAAGCTTGGGAACACTAAGGTTTCACAGACGAATTACTTATCTAATTAAATGCAGATTCGAAAATTGCAATTGCTAAATAACACAATTTTGTCCAATTATGTAAGTTTTGGAGATCCATGATTTTATTTGCAAATTTGACCCTAAACTATTCCGTATTTCAAGGTCATGATAAATTTTTATATTACTAAATATTGCCAATATCGAATAAACACAGATTCATGAAAATTTTAAAATAAGCTGCAAAATTAGCGTTACACTGTTTGTAACCTTTTTTACAAAGGTAGCAAATTAATTTTTCAAAATTACCAAGTACGGCGTGAATGTCTCGCTCGTGTAAAATTTAATTTATCCAATGCTGGAATTTTTCACGCGAATTAGTCATGAAAGAAATAAAAAAACTTGTTAAATTTTCTGTCATCACTTGAAAAATTTATTTTTCAAAAACATTCCTACTACGACGAATAAAAATACGAAATCTATCGCTAGCGTGGTGTAGTAATAGTCTGTGGAGACGAGGCCACGTATGCTGTCCGCCATCGGGACGGCAAAGCAAATTACGAGGGTCACCATCACAATGGCGTTCGTATAAGTCCAAATGGTTTTCATGTCATCCTGTAAAGCAAAAATAAAATTCAGAATTAAAAAATCACAAATTTCACCAAAATCCTGGAACAAGTAATACCTTTATTTTTACAATTTATTCTAAAATTTCTGTAAATTTAATTTTTGACGAGAAACATTTACATTTCATTCCAAATAATCGAACCATAGGTAAAATTTGTTCGGATTGACGTATCCTATTAACGCAAATGTTCTGTTCAAAATTAACAAATTCTATAAAACTGAAAGATTGCACATGTCACAATTTAATAATTGGACATCTCACATTAAACCACGTTTATGTTAATCCGTAACATTTTTAAAATGCCAGAATTTAAATACATAACGGATTTGGTCAATAAAAATTGAATCTTTTTGAAACATAATAAAAAAATCTGGTCAACTTAAAATCCACTAAAAATCAATCACGTCCTTTATACACGGCTTATTCGTGATAACGAATTTCTAAAAACTCAAATTTTAAGTTTCCTTTTCACCTTAAAAAATAGAAACGCTGAGGAAATCGTTTGCGCAAATCCTGCCACCATAGCGGTCGCACTGCATCCTACGATTTTATCCCCCACGGATGATCCGGTCGTTTTGGCATAGTCATCAATTACCAAACTGCAACTGATTATTACGGCCACGCCCAAAATCTAAAGAAAAATTACATATTTTCTTCACTCAAATTCACAAAAGTAATTGTTGTTTGCATGTTTGTAATCCAGTAAATAAAGGTTTCGATACAATTTTTTAACAATCTAACTTTCGTAATCCTTGTGCAAAATTTGTACAAACTTTTGCAATTTTGCGAATTTTACTGGATTACAATTATATTATCCGCGTGAATTAATTAGTGAATTTGTATCCTCACCGCAAAGAAAATTCCCAAGGGGACCGAGTCTCTCGACAAAAGCCCCACCGCCAAGAAGAGCAGAATCCAATTGATCCCAACAACGGCAAAGAACGCATCTTCCTGTGAACGTCCCAACAATCCGTCCTCTTTGTCCGCCAGCAGGATTGTCCAGCAAATTATGTACAACAGAATTAGCCCGATTTGCGTATAAATCCATGTTTGCTTCACATTCGACTGTATGTATACGAAAAAGAGAAAATTATCATATAAAGAAATGCACTCTAATTTTTGTAATCTATGTAAAAATCTTGATTCTCATCACAAACTGTTCCTAACTGATTTATAAAATAAAGTGCAGCAGATTTTGCAACCTGATTTGCCTTCGCAATGTTGGCAAAATTTTGTAAATTTTTGTAAGCTATAAAAGTATTATATCCTCATTAGCTTTATATTGTTTGAATTGACTCAATTTAAATAAATATGCTTTATTGTGACGTCGTTAGTTATAATTCAGGAATTTATAAAAAATATCTCAACCACGAGGTGGGATTAGTTTTCGTAAGATGCAATATTTTGGCAAAATTGTTACGATTATATAATCTAACTGGTAAAATTGTTAGTAAAGTTGGTACAATTTAAAGAAGGTAGTAAACTTGGAAGTAGTCCAAATTTATAGACTCCAAAATACTTAAGGCAATTGGTACAATCAGCAAAATTGTTCAAACCTGGTAACCTACCTTAAAATACATCAAAACCGAGGAAATGGTTTGTATAGCGGCGCCAATTATGACCGCCGACGTACATCCGACCGGTTTATCCTTTGCCGACCAACTGCTCTTATGCACCCATTCATCCAAAAGTAAACTCGCCGCAACTATCGTGCCCACGCCGGCAACCTGATAAAACCAAGCACAATTACACCCCCTCAATAACTTGGTAACAAATTGTCAATGCTTTGTTTGTAGCCAAACTATGAAATATTTTTCTCCAAATTCAGCTACAACCAATCAATTTTTCACTTCATGTGCATAGTTCAAAAAAGCATTACCGTAAAAAATACTGCGATTTGAGACAGCGAAATATTTATCGTTATCGCCGAACCAACCATTCTCACTAAATATGGTTTAAAAACTCGGTAACAAAAATCGTGACCGATTGCATTGACAAAATATGAAGGTCTACCGCATTGGTAACAATTTACCACAGAACGGTTACGATAATTTCTGCGGAATTTTTCACCTCAGAATTGTGTTACCATTCGAATGGTAACACGGAATGCATTCCGTGGTCACTCATCACCGACGCGGTAGAACTTCATACTTTTTAGTATGCAAATTCCTGCACTCGGTCACAATTTTGTTACCAAATTATTTTCAGGTTACTAAATAAAACTAAAAAAAAACTTATTAAATCCCGATCCGTGATCAGATCACTGGTTCGTTTCGTACTTTTTCAACATCACTGACACAGAAGAGCAGGATGTAACTTGCTTGTTTTTTTGCAGGTGAGATAAGGTAAATTTATCATTATGCATAACTATGTAACTACACACAGACGGAGAGTCAAGTGGTAGGTTAAATTTAGAGTGGACAAAATACACGGCAGTTCATTACAAAGATAAATGTGGACATGAATGCAAAAAAAGGTGACATAATATTTAGCGCATAATTGACCAGGTGAATGCGTAACTGCAATTAATTGAAAATTAACAACATTTTATCGCTTTTATGAAAAATTCTGCCCACATTTTCTACAATATTTACGAAATATTAAATAAACTAAGCATTTTATCTATTTTATTGTATTTACTTATGTAAGTGAGTAATCCAATTAACGAGACGACCTTCAAAGGAGTGTTGCTGTATTTTTCGTGTTGTTCAAATAAATAAATTCCATCCTGATGAGACCCTCATCCTGCCCGGCTTATCATCAGTTCTTTATTTATTTATGCCCGTCCTCGTAAAATGTACTTGTATTTGTATGCATTTCAATATAACGTTAGTTTAATGATGTGTATCAAAGTATAATAAAAACGCGTCAATTATGTAAGCTGTAGCTGCATTTTAATCTCGTTGGGATTATAACCGAAAAATTTTGGGATTTCCCAACGTAAAATGGAATTTATATTGTGGTAAATGGTAATCAATGCACAGAACCCAGTCCCCAGAGTTTTAGTAATAAATGTTACCAGAGTTTTGCCATTGTTATCAGGTTCGAAAAATGTTGCCGGTTTTATCAATAATTTACGAAATAGTTACAATTTGACTGTTTTCGGTTAAACCATGACCAGGTTTACAGCTTGACAGGTTTACCAATGATTTTTACTCGTTTGATTAATAATAAAATTTGATATATAGTATTAAGTAACTTCATTACAAATTTAAATGCCATCTTATATTTATAAGATATTGTATTCATTCAGGAAATATGATAACCGGCATCTTTCTATCACATTATACAATTTTTTTAAATTATTACCGAATTGACAGAGATATTAGTACTTTTAAATTTCGCACAATCCTTATAACGTCTACACAGCTTGCAAACATTACCAATTACGATGCACAATCAAGCTACAAATCTACCTCGATTTTTTTCATATTTTACAGTTCTCTTTATTCTGTAAAATGCATACATATATCATTTTATAAATGTTACATAGTTTATTTCGTTAAAAACAAATTAGTGAATCATTCTCGAAAATCTTGTAGTAGATTGTAGCAATGAATTCAAAACAGAATTTCTCGATTACTAAAAAAAACATTACCAAATTATAAAATTTGAATACCACTAACCCAATAAGTTTTAAGGATTAATACCAGTAGATTTTAATATTCAATCTGATTCTGAATCTGAGGTGAGGACTACAAACTTCGATAACTTGCTATCTAGTCGCATGTCGTGTCGTGTATGGACCATGAAGACGTTGGTGTTTGATGTCCAATCGATGTTGTTTGTGCGAAATTGGTGAGTCCTGGATGTAATTACATCATTCGGAAAGGATGTTGAGGGCGATGATGGAATTAACCTGTCGTAAATATGTATAAAACATAATAAATATGAAAATATATGCAAATTTCAATGTATTTCAAAACTCTAAAGGTTAGTTTAGATGCAACCACCTTTCTAATAATTCGTGTCCCTGAATCGCCAACTCGTCATCGACATAAGTCATTTGGCAATTCATTCAAACGATCCTGTGAACTTAATAGCTTTCACTTTTAGGCCGCCGCCTCCTTGGAAGCTACTGGATCCTCCCATGATCTGGTTGTTATTGTTATCGCAAGATTCGATTAATTTTCTAATCATGCTGAAACTTGGTCCAGATAGGCCGGCTGACCTCTATTTCTCCATGATTAGGACCTGAGCTACGATCCCGGATGTATTTTTGGGAATTTTTATCGGCATACATTTACTACGCAAAGAATATCATTATGCATTTTTATAAATGTAATAAACAATCAACTCTTTCTACGAAATAAATTATATACACAAGTACAACTCACCTTCTTTCGTTTGTGCATTCTGACTTTGCAAATCAAAATCCACATTTGTGCCATTCTTTAAATCAGTGACGAATATTTGAATCCCGTCAAATGTGACCGTGCAAAAGTCCAAGGCTACTTTTAACCTGCACTTGACCGACATTTTATTCATAGTAAGCTTATTAATTGTTGCGATTTGTGTTGTGGACACCCGAGACATCAGGCTAAAAAACCAACAAATCATGTTGACTTATTAATTTAAGATACATAATTATTACCAGCTTTGAACGATCCCTTTGCAATAATTTATATAATACGATTCTTTCTACACATTTTGTTGATGTGCAAATTGTACATCAATAAATTCTTTATATAGTTTTGCACAGTGCAATACAAAAAATCAATACGAAATACAACGTGATATTAAAAACATTTATATTTTACCTTTCATTCACGTTTACTTTCCACTCGTTTTTTTCTGGTCAACCTACCTTCACCTTCTCAGACCTCAATGAATCAGTCAACCGATTAATACTTTTGATTAATTAATCATTAAGTCAATGCCGACTGCCGAGAAAGTATTTAAAAGCCAAACAAAATGAGTTTATGTTTACTTCAACTGCAATTGTTTTGGAGATTACAAACGCTGCGCTTGCCGGGTTTGCCAGGTTCACTTTCTCCGGCTTAAGACCTCTTCCATGTAAATAATTTGTCTCAAGTTGTCCGTCTCAAATGTTTCCTGTAAAAACATTAACAAAAATTAATATAAACCAGGCCAAAAAAGTCCAGGTATTACTTATCAAAGTTTACAACAGGAAAAGAAGTACATAGTGTTAAGCGCTCGATAACTTACCACGGCCAAGGGGACCGTAGGAAAAAATTACCTTTAGCTTCTCTCAATCTCAAGTTTAATGCAGTCAATAATTGATTTAAGGAAAATAAGAAAATATGAAAATCAAAGTTAACTAACACTAACAAAGAGTAATTGCCTTGAAACTTATATTTCCTTTTCCTTAGTCAAACCTATTTCTTTATTTCTAAATAAGATAAATATGAAAATAATAAAATGGCGTTAAATTTTAACATTAAAAAAATTGCTTCTGACGATAAGACATGTTACGTATGAATTTGAATAATTTAAATGTTATCGTCTTTACACAATTTCATATTGGAATTTTTTTGTCAAGTATGTAAAACTCTATAAACATGATTTTCGCATTGAGTTTCCCAAATTTTTCTAAATTTTTTCCAAATTTTTTGTAAACTTCAAAAACACAAAAATTGTAACCCATTTCATTCCATCCCCTTAATTGAGACATCACGAAGTCACAACCGAACTCAAGCCATGGGTCGACGACAAGCTCCCTTATCCGACTGATTGCCTGCCTTCCATTACACAACGGTTGACACTTAACCCCGTGCTGTGCGAGGAGACGGACAGCATGAAATTCACGGCTGGAGAGGCAACGAAATCATTTTTATTGCCTCATTGTTGTCCATCCCATTGTTGGCAAGAAGTCGTTCCCACAGGCAGCAAATTCACGACCCATCCGATACACGAGATGGACCGAGATCTGTCCTCATGACAAGTGACGGACGGCAGAAGGCTGGACATTTGAGCAATAAAGAGAGATTCATGACACTACTTTGACCGACCTTTATGGTTTTCGGTGGAGATTTTGAGGTTGTGATTATTTGGAGAAATTTGTTCCACGTTTTTGGGAAATATTGACATTATGCGACGCCAGTATAAATTTGTGTTATTAATTTGTTTAAAAGGAAGCTTAAAACAAGATTCCTGGGCGTTATATTCTCGATTTGATTTTAACCTCCAAATATGTAAATATCGTGACAAGAAGTCATTACCCGTTAAAGTTTGGCGTATTAATAACTAGCTGATAGCATTCGGCACTCTTCTTTTGAATAACATAACCTGACCAGGGTTTCGTTTCGAAACAGTTTATCTTATATTGTATAAAATGCACGAGAAGTATAAAAAAAGTGATCTGGACGAAAGAAAAATCTCGATAATTCACCAATTACACCCACTTTCTTCAACCACAGAGAAGTTAGAATTTCAAACCAGTTTTCTCAATTCTGGAGAATGCATGAATAACAAAAGATATGTAAACAAGCTCTTGACTTTCAAAATTCTGCTTATTTATAAATCTGTTTTTTTATTTCTTTTAAATACTTATTACACAGTACAAGTAAATAAATTTGCAAAAATTCGTATAATTTGCAATGTCTTTTTAAACTTGTCCCTGTACGATCCTCACCAGAAGTTGGGCTTGATCTAGCAAGACTTGGGTTTGGTTTAGAAGGACATCTATATTGTTTGCGGCATCTGGAGCTTTCTCATTTTGCATCACTGAAACATGAAAAAAGTAAGAAATTTTAAAATGTCTTGTGTTGCAGTAAAAAATTGGTAACAAAATTGTCACCGAATGTCCTACATTTGTCACGCAACGGTACAAATAATTGTGAGTAAAATTCAAATTTACTAACACATCGGATACCCGATGGGTAACAGATTTGATTTGAATGGAAAATTATTATTACCAGACGGTAAGAACGCACCAATATTATAGAATTTCACTCGTAGGCAATTTTGTTACAATTTATTTTTGATGTGAACAGATTATGTACTTACAATCATCTCCTTCTTCGTTTGTTTCCAGAGGATCAGCATCCCCATCAGTTTCTCCATATGAAACTGAAATGAAACCGAAAACTAAGACGGTAAATAGTATGAGAAGCAGCGAGCTGTTAAAGTGTCTCATTTTGGCTTTGTTTTTTAAGCTAATAAATCATTTTATCATGTGGATGGGGGTGGGGGTGGGGGTGGATTTGATGGGGGTGGGGGTGGATTTAGGTGGGGGTGGGGGTGGATTTAGGTGGGGGTGGGGGTGGATTTGGGTGGGGGTGGTTTTATAAATGCCGAGGATTTTGGGAGTGTGTGGTGCGGTCTTTAATTTTATTACGTCACATTTTTCATGGGCTCTGTCATTTCCCTTTTGTTTTCAGGTTGGGATTTTATGTCCATTTTTTACCCAGTTTTTGAGACTTCCTCTCGTCTCGGGAAATAGAAATCGCTCTATTTTTTGGGAGGCGACGAGTGCTTCGATTTTTTTAGGTAGATTTGCGTGTGGTGTGTGGATGGATGGGATGTAAAAGTTTTATGTGCTTATTTTTGTGTTTGTTTCTTAAAGAAATAGTGAAATCTGACCTGAAACAAAGGAGTGTTTGAGATAGAATATTTGTAATGCGAGCAGATGGGTAACGAGAAGAAAGAATTATGAAAAAATGGAGGATTATGAGTTGAAATTGTCATAAATAATATGACAATGTGTTTCTCTTGCTGAGAAAGCTTCGAATTAAAAATTTGTCAAATCCGGTAAATCCCTTTTTTTATAGATTTCCGAAAACTAAAAAATAATTTTGTACTTTTAACTAAATTAATTAAAACTCGATATTATTTGTAATTATCACGTTTAACATAATTTAGTGCTAATCAATTTAATCAAGTGGTTTTTACAGTTTGAAATTAGATTTCACAAAAAAGGTCTGTCTCTTGCTTAGTAATATTTTTGTTCGGACACGAGCCAGCATTTTACTTATTTTTACTAACACCACCGTTAAATTGGGTACAATTATTGCAATAAAAGTTTATAAAGAGACCAAGTAAGTTGGTTGAATTATCGTGGACTGGATTCTGGACAGCTTGCTAACTTCGGCAAAAATCGGATTGGAAAGGCAAACCAAAACCCTCATAAAAATTTACCACTGCGCCCCACCCAGTAATTTTCAAACAGTGTTGTATTCTATTCCAAATTCTGTAACTGTTTCTTCCTTTGTGTTTTCGAATTGGATTTGGGTTGTAAAATTATTATGAAACTCATCCAGATGGTAAACTCGGAACAGCATTGCACAATAAGATTCGTTGTCATCCTAAACAGTGTGTTACCATACTCTAAATAATGTGGTAACAAAGTGTCACCGGAAGGAAATTAGGTATAACCTGGTCTACTATATTTCGTAATATGTTGCTACCGTTTTTCCAAGAATTTTCACTTCAATCAAATCCAAATTCATTACCAATTTATGACAGCCTCCAACCAATTCGATAAAAAAAATTATGTCTAAACTTGGTAATATGTTTGTTACTGGATTATTTAGAGTGCCCTTTAACAAGACCTTGGATTAGGTCAACGGGTCGAAATGACATAAGAAATCGTGTCGTAAAATCGGTTTATTGCTCCAAGAAATTAAAGGAAGTCACCCTTGGGACGAGTGACACATTTTACAACGTCAAACCCAAGATTTCTCTCAATTCGAGGGTCTGAAAATTATAGGACGATTCAATTGGAAGCATAAACTTGTTGGCGTGTTGTTTGTGGTTTGGATTAGTGCAATCATTTGAATCCCTCCTCCTCGGTTTTACAGAGTAATTTATTTATTTATTTACATCTTCACAAGTCCAACAGCGAGATTTGCTATTAAGGTGAAATCCCACTCGTATAAAATTCTCGTCAAAATTAGTACACTATTTTATACAGAAAAACCAACATTTTTCAACAAAACTCAAGAACCTATTTTGTTATTTATAATTAAGCAATTTCTAATGTTTAATAAACGTCGACCAATTTAAGCAGTTCTGTATACTATGTTTTAATTAAAATAATTAAATATACTGGCTCAAATTTTGCATTTCTGTCGAATTATACGAAAACTAATAATTATACGAAAACTAATAAAATTATACGAAAAATTCTATTGACTTCAAAAAAAATTGCAGCCATTTCAAATATCTTCCTGCAATTTTCATCTCCAAAAATAAGAATATGAAATAAATATCTCGATTTTTCACCTTCCCATTTTTCACTTCCAGTTGATTGCATTTTCATAATGAAATATGAAGAGGTACTATCCCCGTACTTCGGCTTTGCACCTCATTTGCATAAATCTGCTCGCACAAGTTCTTGTAGCCGTCGCCCACACTATTTTGAATGACGCGTGCGGGAACTGGTGTAAACATGTGGTTTTTAGTAAACATGCACAACGAAATAATTTGTACATTATAAAATTGTAAAAATTTAAATACCTAATTGCAAATAGTAATACTGTCACCATGAGCATTAGGAGAGTAACAAGAGTTAATAAACCGTCAAAAAATATATCTGGAGTAGTAAAAAACGTGCACGAGTTTGTGCAAACTTTACAAAATTACTTTAAATACAATGTGAAAGTGTTAAACCAGTTCAAGCTAGAAAATGTAGCAAAAAAAGTGGCAGGGTTGTGTAACGTTTCAAAACGAACAGTGCACACAATTATGAAGAACGCGAGTAATAAAGAGAATAACAAAGAAATTCAAACTGATAATACACCAAGGAAACCACTTTATCAATGTGATGAGTTTTCGACCTCAATGATTCGTCGTGTTACTCAAGACTTCTATTCACGTAAAGAATATCCAAGTGCGAACTCCCTCTGGCAAACATGTCGCAATAATGAATATTTTCCTAAAATTAGCGAATCATTGTTTCGAAAGTGGCTGGTGACAAAATGTAGCTTCAAATATCGACTAATAAATAAAAAACCTGTTTATCTTGAACGCACGGACATAGTTGCCCAAAGAGAAAACTACCTTAGGAAAATTCGGCAATATAGAGCAGAAAATAGAAAAATTTATTTCTCCGACGAGACGTGGGCTTCTCCCGATAATACGAGAAAATATTGCTGGGAAATGCTGCTAACAAACCGTGAACGGCAAGAAATGGACCAGTTTTGGAGTGGCATGATTTTGCAGGACATGAATAACTGGACAGGTCTGATCTTTATTTCATTGTACTAAAGTAAACCTCGTGTTAGCAGAATCTAACTATAACATATTTAAACGTTTTTATTCAGGAGGATTTCTGGTAAAATCTGGAAACGGCAGAGTCATCATTAACCACATAGGATCCGAGGATGGGTTTCTGACGGATGGGGACGATATTTTTATTTCAAAAAAGGACGTTAAAGATTATCACGGTAATATGGACCATGTCAGATATTTGACGTGGTTTGAAAAGATCCTGAGTCTCGTGCCACCAAAATCGGTCTTAGTTCTAGATCAGGCTCCCTACCACCGCAAAAGGGTACATTTTGAATTCAATGTTGTAATTTCAAAATCGTAGTAAGATTGTTTTACTATAGGTTGAAGGAACGCTAATGCCGAACATGGCCTGGCTGAAGCAGAAAATTGTTGATTGGGTTGTTCAACATGACATTCGTCTGCCCGAAGGAGTTGAAAGTTTCCATAAACTTACCAAATCATCACTAATCGAACTGGCAAAATCAAAACCCGTGAAACCCAAATTTATCGTGGAGAAACTTGCAGAAGAAAGCAACAAGGATATAAAAATACTCTGGCTTCCACCTGCTCACTGCGAGTTTAACCCGATTGAATTAATCTGGGCAATTGTCAAGGGCTATATCGCTAAACATAATCCAGGCAATAATTTGAACGGAATATATGAATTGTCGAAGAAAGCGGTATCAAATATAACACCTGAAATGTGGAGGAATTGCGTCCATCATTCTATAAAATATGAAGACAAAATGTGGGAAAGGGATAGATTGATGGACAATTTCTTAGATTCACCTGCAACGAACTTGATGACGCCCATAATTATTCCTATTCGTGAAGATGACTCATCAGACTCAGAATATCATACTGAATCTGATGATTTGGAAAGCGAGGACGGGGACTTAGAATTTTTCGATAGCTAATTTCAATATGTAAGTCACTAGCTCACCACCAACATTATTCACTACAAAAATATTAGTAATAATCTATTACCCAATATTAATTGATGATGTACATATGTAGGTGAAGGAAGATACGAAACAGTTGCAAATCGTGGCCAATTATCATTCTTACAGTGCTACTTCCTTTCGCATCACTCTCTGGGAAGGCGATGGTGGTCAATTATAGTTGACAGTAATGTCATTTAGTTAAATAAGTTTAATGATTAAATTTTGCTGGACACGTGCAATTTGCTTCCATGGTGGTGCTCATGATCTGAAAAAGTCTTAGGTAACTAATTAAAGTATAATATGAACATATCGTGTTTTGATTTCTAAATATTTAATCCCTGATGATGACACGAGTGCAGTATCGAAAACTTGGGAAATAAATTCAATTTCTTCCTTCAATCATGTCATCTTCTCTTTAAATTATAATACGAATGTGTTTATCTCTTCTCTTGTAAATTATCTGCATTTAATATGATACATATCCATATATCCGTCATCGTTTTACTAAATAGCTTACCATATTTGATACGTGCATTCCGTAGTTAAAAATCTTACATTTCATGTACACATTCGTGGAAGTCATAGAGTCTCACTTGTCCCCATCTCGGGCGACGGCTACAAGAACTTGTGCGAGCAGATTTATGCAAATGAGGTGCAAAGCCGAAGTACGGGGATAGTAGGTAATTCGTTCACAACATTTTACTCTTCTGGCAGCTAAAATCTCACATTTCATTAAACATTTACTTGAGCAGAGCAGTCCTCACATTTCTTTCAGTCTCACCAGCAGCCCCAACCTTTTTTTAATTTTCAAGGGTTTCGGTTAAATTTCTGAGTGAAAAAAAAAGCCTGAAGAAGTTGTCAGGTTGGATAATTTAAGAAAATGTTCGCATCGATGTCCACATTTTTTTACATGGTCACTTTGGTACATACTTTTTAGCTTTACCGGGATTTTTGTTTTCTAAAATATGATGGACGAAATGAACCGCAACAAATCTAATAATTTCTTCGAATTATGTTTATTCCAAATTATTATGTTTTGGTGGTTGGTAATTCAAAAGGACATGACAAATTGTCAAGCGGATACATATATCCACAAATGAAAGATGAAGGTTAATTCCATAATTGAAAAATTGATGCTATAATTCTAAAAAGTCATGCAAAACAATTTCACATAATACAGACGACGGGTTATGATAATAGTTCGTAAAAAATATGCTATTTCGCACATTTTAGCAATTGTACTGTAAAAATCCGATGAGAAAAATTTATGAATAAGTCCAAATTTCACCAATGTCTTACGGTCGAACGGTTCCCTTCAAGAAATCTCCTCAGCAGATGTGTCCCAGAAGAAGGCACGCTTTTTCCAGCCCATGTTACACAATAGTTAGCCCCTTACTTTTAATATAACGAATACATACTTTTACACAATGACGACAAATGACACGACCAAACCGTGACCAAGGAAAAATGTTCACTTATTCAAGAATTTTGTGTAAAGTGGGTCCTTGACAAAACAGAGATGAAGAATAAGCTCTGCGTAGAAGGGAGTAGTTTAAGAAGTGCAATAAAATCGAGACATGAAATGAAAACCGTTTCCTCTTCGTAACATCTTGTCCTCTCTTTTGTGCTCCAGTCCAGTCGCTATTTCAGTATTTGTTAGGTCACTAGACCAAAATACCAGACTATTTAAAAGTAAATGCATACAAATGCTTAGATGTCGTGCAGAAAGAATGTGGTCGCATCCATTTGACAGAGGTTATTGGGTGATCTCACACAACTACGCCATCAGCTCAACGTATATACTTAAATTCAATTGTTTGACAATAGTGTGGGCACACAAACTTGGTTAAAATGGAGAAAACTCGGCTAAAATCCTTTATGTATTACCCCAAAATGTAAGAAATGGGTCTTATTTTTGCGGCATTTATAAAACCACCCCCACCCCCATGGTTAAATGTCGTGCATAAAGGATGTGGTTTCATCCATTTTGAAGGAGATTATCATTTGATCTCAGGTATATCATCTTCTCTACGCAGTTAAGTTGCGGATCACACATGCAAACTTGGTTAAACTGGAAAAAATTGGGGTAATTTTTTTTATGCATGTAACGAACGTAAGAAGTGGGTCTTACTTTTGTACTTTATTTGGACTCAATGTCTCTTTATTTGTGTAACGACATGACAAATGACCAAAAGTGGGAACAGAATGAGAATGTGTAAACAGCTTCAATTTTGGAGTTCGTAACAGACGACAAATTCTGTTCTGACAAATATGAAAATCACGTTCAAATTTTTGTAAGATATGACAAATTTGTAATTGCATTGTAGGAATTTCTTAAAACAACTTAAACATACCCAAATATACAATGAACACTGAAAAACCGTACACCGTTCCAAACTTTCCAGTAATTATGCAAATGAAACTGAATATGCCCGATTTCTGTAATACTTAACAATTAGATAATTGACCAGACTACACATTTGGTTTCCAGCAAAGAACCAGTGGACATATTAATACTTAATAAGTAAATCCGGCATCATCAGAATTTATTAATCGATCATGGCCTGCATAATCTTTCAAAAACACTTAACCAATTTGTTTTCCCCACTTTGTGCTAATGACGCTTTTAATAAGTTAGTTACAAGTGACGATACTGAACACTTTAGTTCGTATTGTTTTCTCAGTACGCTGTCAATTTTAAAATTATTGTGATTACTTATATGATAATTATGCAGATCTATGTACATATATTTTTATTTGGCCTTAATCCATATCCAATGTTGGGACAGGTCACACATCTGCGTCAACATATACTTGAGATAAGAGAACCAATTGCATGCGACACTCGAGAGATTGATATCATTACGTCATCGTCAACCAGGTAAAATTTGCTATATAAACCTGGAGTAAAGGGTGAAACGGCATCCAAATATTCAGCTTGTATTAATCTTCCTGAAATCATACCTGAATATTAACTACATATATCCTCAAAATCGAATTTCTAAAAAATGGCACTTTTGAAACTTGTGCTTTGGTCTATGGCCGTGGTCGTATTTTCAGGCGTTGCTGTCCGTGCAGCAACACTGGGTGAGAAAAATTCAAATCAACGTTCGTAGAATCGCCAAAAATATACGATAATTTTTCATTTTTAACTCGATATTTCTTACAGATCGCCAAATCGAGTACCCTGAAATGCGAGTGATCGGAACAATTGGGAGCAAGACGTTTTACACGACCTTAAACTCCGTAATTAAACTTTCAATGAAATCACTGCCATTTAGAAATACTTGTTTTTCGTATAAAATAACACAAAACGTACTTTTCGTAGACGTTTCAAGTCAGGTGGGACGCAGCCAGGCAAATTTGTCGACAGTCGGGCATTCAATTCGCCATCTTCCAATCCGACGCCGAGTTTGATTTTGTTCGAGCTAACGTCGCCCCCTCATCACGTGAGTGACCATTTTGCTATTTAATTAGCATATTAATTTGGTACATAAATGGTGGAAATGGTGCTTAAAACTTTAATAAATATTAAATGTTTTAGAACTTTGGATTGACGCCAGCATGCGAGAAATGGAGACTCTGACCGGGAGGGCGGCGTTCGTTTATGGCGATGGTTCCGACGTGTCGACGAAGAACGTCATGATTCACCCCGCGAACTGGGTGTGCCTCTACTTTTCCGCCGACGACCACATTTTCTCAGGAATGTGCGCCGAACAAAGAGGAGTCCTCTGCCACATGAACAACGCTGATGGAACCAATTCCCAATAATTTCTTGCTTCATGCAATCTTTCAGACGACTTAAATTCAAAATTATATTAAAACAATTTACGATCAGTTAATAAAATGGCGGCGCTATAATCAATTTCATGCAATCAATTTTAGTCAGATCATATTGCTGATTTATTTACTCGCCATTTGTGTACGAATTTCGTTGTACATAATTTACAAATCAATACGCTTTCCCCATAAACACATGCCCTGTCCTAATTTTTTAATTTTAAAATTTAATTCGTCACGTAAACATCTCATTTTTCAATTGAGTACTGTTAAAAACGAGAAACTTACATTTTTAGTTGCCTAATTTTTCATTTTCAAATTTAATTTTTCACTTTAGTATCTCGTTTTCTATTAAGTATGAAAGTTAAAATTTACATATTTATTCAACTTTTATTAATTTTTTGAATGACTTTGCAGCCAATATATTTTTTTTTATAATATTTAGAAAAGGTCAAAATAAATAACCATAGATAAATAAAAATTTCGTTGCCCAGATTTCAAAATTACTTAAATACAAACATACTTAAATTCAAATTATATTTAAACAATTTAAAATCAGTTAATAAATTCAATTTCATGCAATTTAAGTCTGATTATGTTAATTATTTATTTATTTACTTCTTATTTGACTACGATGAAAATTTTGCTGTACATAATTTACAAAGCAATACATTTTCTTTATAATCACATTTCGCTTATAAATTTTTTTAATTTTTAAAATTTAATTTCTCGCGTAAACATTTCATTTTTAAACTGTATACGCAGGTTAAAAACGAGCAATTACATTTTTATTTAATTATGTAACTTTTTTGAATAACTTTGCCGTTGATATATAATTTGAGTAATATTTTAAAATGGCCAACCTAAAAAATGTAGATATAGTAAAGAGGGATTCTTTCTGCAATAAGGTTTATCACAATATTATTGACTCTCTACATAAGTATTTAATTTATTTGAGTAAATATGTAGTATATTTCATCTTTATTTTAATATGCCTAATTTAATGGTTATCCTTAACAATTAGTTGGGCAGCCTATCAAGTTTGCGGTGAAGAACTAATGGACACTTTAGTATCCATACTTCATAAAAGCATACATAAATTCGGCTTGATCACAACTTATGAATCGATCATACATAATCCATCAAAAATAAGTAAACAATTCATTTTTACCACTTTGTGCTAATGACGATATAAATCAATTAGATGTATAGAAATGAGATATATATGATGCATATTGTTTACGCAGGGGCTGTCAATTTAAAAATTAGGATGGCCACTAATGCAGATCGACATAATATATTCTCAAATTTACAAAAAGGGTCCACTTTCGCCATAAATATAATGTCTTAATTTTTTAATTTTAAAGTTTCATTTCTCCCGTTAACATATCATTTTTTCAATTGCGTACGCACGCAACTAACAATTTAGGTACGTTTTCATTTAACTTGCGGCAATTTTTTGATTGATTTTGCAGTTGATATATGATTTTAGAAATATTTTGACTACGCCTAGGAAACTGAATCTAGATAATGTACCTTTAATGCATGTATTCCATACAAAGTTTCAGATAAACTTGATGATTTAATAGGTATGAAGATTTTAATTTTAATTCCAGAAAGAAATTGACTAGGTTCGCTTATTTTTTTCAATGTTGTTTAAAGTTTTCTATTATCGATCCCAGCTTTCGCATCAAAAATCTTATTCCCAAAATACTTTCGACTCAACACTGTGTCACGTCACATCTCATTTTTTAATTGCATACTCACGCTGGTTGAAAACGAACAATTCACATTTTTATTTCATATTGTCAATTTTTTGAATGACTTTTCCGCTGATATGTGGTTTTGATAATATTTTTAATTGGCCTACCTAAACAATGTAGGTAAAATCGGTTTCCCTCTGAAATAAGTTTTATCACAAGTTTCAGATAAACTTTCTGATTTTAAAGTTACGAAGCTTTTAATTTTAATTCCGGAAAGAAATTGACTAGGTTCGCTTATTTTTTTTTCAATATTATTGAAAGTTTTCTCTTATCGATCCCAACCTTCGCATCAAAAATCTTATTCCCAAAATACTTTCCAAAATACTTTCGACTCGCTAAAATCCTTTATGTATTACCCCAAAACGTTAGAAACGGGTCTTATTTTTGTACTTTATTTGTGTTCGATGCTTCTTTATTTGTGTTCGATGCTTCTTTATTTGTGTAACGACATGACAAATGACCAAAAGTGGGGACAGGGTGAGAATGTGTAAACAGTTTCAATTTTGGAGTATGAATGTAACAGGAAGACGACTTATTTAGTTCTGACAAATATGAAAATCATGTTGAAATTTTAGATAAGTGCCAAGTTTGTAGTTGAATTTTACCAAAATAATCCAAATTATTTCAATTTCTTTGCAAAAACTTACTGTCTATTTCGACTAGTGGACACGTTAATACTTAATAAGTTTATTCCACTTATCACAATTTATTAATCGATCTGATCGATTATGCATGATCGATCGTTCGATCATGCACAATGTTTCAAAAACACGTAACCAACTTGTTTTTTCCATGTTGTGCTAATGACGCTGTAAATCAATTATATAGCTGCATGGAAATGACGATATTGAATACTTAATGCATATTGTTTACGTATGAAGCTGCCAATTTTAAAAATTAATATGACCACTGTTGCAGATCTACAAATATTCTCAAATTATTTGGCTTTAATCTATATCCACTGTTGGGACAGGTCACACATCTGCGTCAACATCTACTTGAGATAAGAGAACCAATTGCATGCGACTCTCTGAACACTGCCATCACTACGTTATCGCCAATCAGGTAAAATTGAGTATATAAACCTGGAGTAAAGGGTGAAAATGCATCCAAGTATTCACCTTGTCTCCTTCTTCCTGAAGCCAAAACTGAATATTAACTACGTACACAATTAAAACTGAATTTCTAAAAAATGGCATATTTGAAATTTGTGCTTTGCTCTTTAGCCGTGGTCATATTTTCAGGAGTTGCAGTCCATGCAGCAACATTGGGTAAGCAAAATTCAAAATAATCCATTTAGAATCTTTAAAAATCGTTACCATAATTTATAATTTTTCAATCAATAATACTTTTTACAGATCGCCAAATCGAGTACCCTGAAATGCGAGTGATCGGAACAATTGGGAGCAAGACGTTTTACACGACCTTAAACTCTGTAATTAAACTTTTAATGAAATCACCGCCACTCGGAAACACTGGTTTTTCATATAAATTAAAATGAAACGTACTTTTTGTAGACTTTTGCAGTCAGGTGGGACGCAGCCAGGCAAATTTGTCGACAGTCGGGCATTCAATTCGCCATCTTTCAATCCGACGCTGAGTTTGATTTTGTTCGAGCTAACGTTGCCCCCTCATCACGTGAGTGACTATATAGCTACATAATTTGCATACTGATTTGATACATAAATGCATACATAAATAGTGCTTTAAAATTGCACAAATCTGTAATATTTTAGAACTTTGGATTGACGCGAGCATGCGAGAAATGGAGACTCTGACTGGGAGGGCGGCCTTCGTTTACGGCGATGGTTCCGACGTGTCGACGAAGAACGTCATGATTTACCCTGCGAACTGGGTGTGCCTCTACTTCTCCGCGGATGACCACATTTTCTCAGGAATGTGCGCTGAACAAAGAGGAGTCCTCTGCCACATGAACAACGCTGATGGAACCAATTCCCAATAATTTCTTGCTTCATGCAACCTTTCAAACACAATTAAATTCAAAATTATACTATAACAATTTTCGATCAATGAATAAAATGACGGCGCAATAATCAATTTAAGTCTGATATGCTAATTATTTATTAATTTGTATACAATGAAAATTTCGCTGTACATAATTTATAAAGCAATACGCTCTCTCTATAATCACATGTCGCGTCTTAATTTTTCATTTTCAAATTTCATTTCTTTCGTGAAAATCTAATTTTTCAATTGCATACTCACGCTGGTTAAAAACGAACAATTTAAATTTTTATTTCATATTGTCAATTTTTTGAATGACTTTTCCGCTGATATGTGGTTTGGCTAATATTTTTAATTGGCCTACTTAAACAATGTAGGTAAAATCGGTTTCCGTGTGAAATAAGTTTTATCACAAGTTTCAGATAAATTTCTGATTTTAAAGTTACGAAGATTTTAACTTTAATTCCGGAAAGAAATTGACTAGGTTCGCTTATTTTTTTGTAAATATTATTGAACCTTTTCTCTTATCGATCCCAACCTTCGCATCAAAAATCTTATTCCCAAAATACTTTCGACCCAACACTACTGTGTCACGTCGCATTTTACTTTCACCCTTTAAGTGACATGTCTTTGCACCCAGGTCATACAAATCATTGTATGGCGACATCACAAATGACCAAAAGTGGGGCAGAGTGAGAATGTGTAAACTTTTTCAACTTTGGTATACTCAACAGACGACTAAATTAGCTCTGACAGGTGTGAAGATCAGGTTGAAATTTTAGTTATGTCAAATTCGTAGGTACTGACAGTACCTCCATACTTGTTCACATAAATGGATTAAATATATACATGACACCAACGGTCTCACAAGGGACACTCATGACCTGTCGTTTGAGTCCAGGGTGGCGACTATGTTTTTTAGAATCTGCTAGGACCCCAGATGAAGGATTCATTCATATTTCCGTGTAAAACTCATATTTGGCGTCATGGCGTGGCGCCAAATTCGCCAAATTTGAATGTTTTTATTTTTGAAACCGCCAGAACTTTTGAAATCCTGGACGGATTTTAAAAATTTTTGGCAAAAATCATGACAAGGAGTTAAACTTTCGTATTCCATGATATTTTTTTCCAAAATTATCGCTTTTAACTTTTCGAAAAATTTCGTAATTTTCTTAGAAATGGGGGTTCGTCGAAAAAATGCTAAAAATATCTCAAAAATTAGAAATTTTTTATTTTTATTTTTTTCTCAAAAATTTTGACTTTTGTGGTCATTTTAAGCATAAAATTTTGAAAATCCGACATAAACTACAAAAGTTATGAGGGTTTGAAATTGGTCGAAAATGCAAATTTCTAAGTTTGGCGCCACGCCATGGCGCCAAATATGAGTTTTACACGGAAATATGAATGAATCCTTCATCTGGGGTCCTAGTAGATTCAAAATAACATAGTGGGTACCCTGGACTCAAACGACAGGTCATGAGTGTCCCTTGTCAGATAAATAATTAAATACGTGTTTTTTTAATTTCATTTCTCAGGTTAACATCTCATTTTTGAATTTCTTACGCACGAAGACTACAAACTAGCAATTTACAATTTTGTTTAACTTGCGTTAATTTTTTGATTGACTTTGCAGTTGATATATAATTTTAGTAATATTTTGACTGAGGCAACGAAAATGAATCTAGGTACCGGATCCATCCTTAGATGCTCAGATAAACTTAATAATTTAATAGTTACGAAACTTGAATTGTCGATCAGGAAAGCAATTGACTTGGTGTGATTATTTATTTTTTTCAGTATTATTGAAACTGTTTTCTTATCGAGCCCTGCCTTCGCATCACAAATCTTATTCCCACAATACCTTCGCCTGGACATTCCTACATCACGTCACATTTTACTTTACCCTTTAAATGAAATGTCCTTGAACCCAGGTAAATAAATCATTGTGTAAAAACTTTGCCAAATGACCAAAATTGGGGCAAAGTGAGAATGTGTAAACAGTTTTAATCTTTGTGTTCGTATCAAATGACTTATTCAGAGTCTGAATTTCAGCCTGCATAAATTTGGTTTACAGCAAAGAACTAATTGACACTTTCATATGCAATAAGTAAATCTGACTTTATCGCAATTCATTAATCGATCATACCCAATTTTCAAACACATGCAACCAAATTGTTTTTTCCACTTTTTGCAAATGACGCTCTAAATAAATTTGTTACAAATGACGACATTGAACACGTTAGTTCGTATTGTTTACGCAGTAAGCTGTCAATTTTAAAATAATGATTACTACCACAGATCTACATATATTCTTAATTTATTTAGCTTTAATCTATATCCAATGTTGGGACAGGTTACACATCTGCGTCAACATCTACTTGAGATAAGAGATTGCATGCGACACTCTGAACACTGCCATCACTACGTCATCGTCAATAGGGTAAAATTTGGTATATAAACCTGGAGTAAAGGGGTGAAAATGCATCCAAGTATTCAGCTTGTCTAATCCTTGCTAAATATTAACTTCATACATAAATATACCATCAAAATCGAATTTCTAAAAAAATGGAACTTTTGAAACTTGTGCTTTGCTCTTTGGCCGTGGTCGCATTTTCAGGTGTTGCTGTCCACGCAGCAACATTGGGTAAGAATAACTCAAAATAATGCACGTATTTGTATGAAGAATCGTTAAAATATATGTACCATAATTTTTAATTCTTCAACCGATCAATATTTTTTACAGATCGCCAAATCGAGTATCCTGAAATGCGAGTGATCGGAACAATTGGGAGCAAGACATTCTACACGACCTTAAACTCCGTAATTAAACTTTCAATAAAATCACTGCCCTTAGGAAACACTGGTTTTCCATATAAAATAAAGTAAATTCACTTTTTGTAGACTTTTCAAGTGAGGTGGGACGCAGCCAGGCAAATTTGTCGACAGTCGGGCATTCAATTTGCCATCTTCCAATCCGACGCCGAGTTTGATTTTGTTCGAGCCAACGTTGGCCCCTCATCACGTGAGTGACGGTTTTGATACTTAATTTGCATACTAAGTATTTAATACGTGGTTGAAATTGAAATAGTGCTAAACAATTGAACAAATATTAAACATTTCAGAGCTCTGGATTGACGCCAGCATGCGAGAAATGGAGACTCTGACTGGCAGGGCGGCATTCGTTTATGGCGATGGTTCCGACGTGTCGACGAAAAACGTCATGATCCACCCCGCGAACTGGGTGTGCCTCTACTTTTCCGCCGACGACCACATTTTCTCGGGAATGTGCGCCGAACAAAGAGGAGTCCTCTGCCACATGAATAATGCAAATGGAACCAATTCCCAATAAATTCTTGCTTCATGCAATCTTTCAAACATACGTAAATTCAAAATTATCTTAAAACTATTTACGATCAGTTAATAAAATGGCGGCGCTATAATCAATTTCATGCAATTAATTCTGATGATGTGGTTTGTTTATTTACTCGACATTTGGAAACGATGAAAATTTCGCTGTACACAATTTACAAAGCAATACGCTTTCTCCATAAACCCATGTCCTGTATTAATTTTTTAATTTTAAAATTTAATTTCTCACATAAACATCTCATTTTTTAATAAAAACGAGCAACTTTTTTAGTTAACGTTATGTACCTTTTTTGAATGACTTTGCCGTTGATATATGATTTTACTAATATTCTGCATCGGCCAATTAAATAAATATAGATAGAGAGGATTTCTTTCTGTAATATATAAGTTTTATAACAAGTTGCAGATAAACTTTGCTGATTTTAAAGTTACGAAACTATAATTTTCACTCCTGCTGAAAGAAATTGACTACGCTTATTTTTTGTCAATATTATTGAAACTTTTCTCCTAACCTTCAAATCACGAATCTTATTCACTCCTTAAAAATAATTTGGACTCGACACGACTGTGTCACGTCACATTTTACTTTCTCCCTTTAAGTGACATGTCCTTACACACAGGTTTAGTAAATCACTGTGTGACTACATAACAAATGACCTAAAGTGGGGTAGAGTGAGAATATGTAAATAGTTTCAATTTTGGAGTATGCAGCAGAGGACGTATTTAGTTCAAATATGAAAATAGCGTCGAAATTTTAGTTATGCCATATTCGTACTTTACTGACATTACCTCGTTCACACTAATGGATTAAATATGTATCGTAATAAAAAAAAAATACAAAACAAATCTTAAATATTATTGACTCTCCGCACATCAGTATTTAATTTATATGAGTATATAGTATATTTCATCTTTATGCTGATTCGCCTAATTTAGTACTTATCAATTAGTTGGCTAGACTATTAAATTTGCAGTGAAGAAAGAACTAGGGGACACCTTAGTACTCATACTTCATAAAAGCATACATAAATCCGACTTCATCACAACTTATTAATCGACTAGCGTATAAGCCCGTCTACCGCCGGGCCATGAAATCTATACTATTAATGGGAATGACTGTCTGCATCAGCAAAGAAAGTTAACAAATATTATTTGAATGATTAATGTTGCAAATATAGGAATTCTTGAGGGTGGTAAGGTGGCATGCATAATCGTAAATTTGTTGCAACCGCCCATCGTTCCCAAAATAATTTTCTAACGAGGGAACCTCTTATAGTGCCCGGAGCTCCCAGCATAACCACTATGTACATTCGACGTAGATTTTAATACTACTCCGATGATGTGACAAAATTACCGTGTCAAAATGACATTTCGTCAAGTGGTGACGACTTTAGTGACGCGCCGAACGGTCACTTTCGCCCATGCTTTCAAAAGAGGAACGCTTTTCACCACTCGCTCCTCACTCATCTCACTTAAATCTCAACCCATTTACTCACAAGGGATTTTCCTATATCTTTACAATTTACGGATTTATTTGTGCCCTCTTCTCATTCACCATTTGGACAAATTCACAAGCATTGTCTTCAATATGTCTGCTGCTAATGTGAATATTGACCAGCTCTTGATACGTAAAATTGACACCGTCGACATCTTCTTCCTCCCATTTCTGTGAGACTCGTTGCGACAGACTTGCAGAAGCTTCCTCGACGTCTTCCTCATCTTCA